GACCACAGAAGCACACCCGAACAGGTCTGGAGCGGCCGCAAGACATAACACTCTCCGCTCCGCTCCACTCGCTTCTGATTAGCCATAGACACACAACACACAGGAAATGCCTTAGGGGACTGTCGGCCGCTGCACTGGGGCTCTGGGAGTGCCACCCTTTCCTACTCACCTTCGAGAAACACAGATCACATATTTTTGTATTTAAGAGTTAGCTGCATTCTTTCGTAGGTGTTGCAGATTAATTGTTTTTTATTATTATTTTTATAAATTGACTACTTTCCTTTTTTTTTTTTTTTTTTTTTTCTTGGCTCCGGAAATACAGGCAGCACTCAAGCAGCTGGATCGACCGGAGAAGGGTCTGTCTGAGCGCGAGCAGCTGGAGCACACGCGTCAGTGCCTGATCAAAATAGGAGATCACATCACCGAGTGTCTGAGAGAATACACCAACCCCGAACAGATCAAACAGTGGAGGAAGTACGGTCATTTCATCAGCAGCTTAGAATGCACAATATATAAACGAATGTTAATATTGAGTTTATCAATACCTTGTTTATTCCCAAATTCCAGAAACCTGTGGATATTTGTTTCGAAATTCACGGAATTTGATGCAAGGAAACTGCATAAACTATACAAACACGCCATCAAGAAAAGACAAGAAAATGCTCAGGTTTGGACACAATATTTTCAAAGATTCTCTGTTATGGTAGTTACTTTGTATGTTTTTGCTGAATTAGTGTCCATTGCTGTAATAATATTATTCATATCTTTATCTTTGGGATATCGTAAGTGTGCGATGTTTGTTTCGTTTCAGGCAGTGGAGCAGAACACTAGCACTGTAAATGCACAAAGCTTTAAACATGCAGGTATGTCTGCTCTCCGTTTTGTGTCCATTTAATTGGTGATTAACTTCCATGCATATTGCACATTTGATCTTAAAGTCTCAAAAAATCACCCTATTTTCTAAACTCGTTTTATTGATCTTATTGGGAATGATTCATCCATCCATGTTTGTTTTTCATCAAAATGTCATATCTTGATCTGATGTAACAGCATCTCTCTGGTGACGTATGCTGTAATCACTTGTGTATGTAATCTTCTTAAACCCCCTTTTTAATATAGACTGAGCTCTCATTCAGATCTGCTTCTGTCTAGTCAACAACCGATGGATGAACCAAGTCCCTGTCCTAATTTTTATTTATTTTTTTTATAGTTTCTCTTGGATCTACGTCATATGAAGAAAAAATCTGTTGCTACTGCAGCTTTAATGGTGTATGGATATTGCCACATTTCTGCTAATCTGTCACACTGAATGCTGTTGTTTTTGCAGATGTTGAGCGGATAAAGGAGTCCCAGCAGGACGACAGCAGTAGAGACAGCTACAGCTCTGACAGACATCACTCATCTCGCTACCATGAGCACAGCAAAGATCGGCACGCTGGCGACTCGTACAGGAAGAGCTCCGATGCCAGGAAGAGACCCTACTCCTCCTTCAGCAACGGCAAAGACCACCGAGAGCGAGAGAGAGACCAGTACAGAGAGAGAGGAGAGCGACAGGACAGCAGGTCATTACACGCGCTTTTCTGTTTGCCTTTACTCTAAAAATGTGCTTAACATTAGCAGCTTATACAGTCTTTGGTACAAATGCAGCTTTTTTCATTTTGTGGATGGGGTGATTTGTATGAAACACATGATATGCAGGGAAAAAACAGGATATTGTGGCTACAAATGAATTTGTTCCCTCATTTTAGGTCAATTGTGGCCATGATTTACCAATTACACAAGTTTTTTAAACTTACAATTGACCTAAAATGTGACCCTGGACCACAAAACCAGGCATAAAGGTCAATTTTAAGAAATTTAGATTTATAGATCACCTGAAAGCTGAATAAATAAGCTCTCCATTGATGTATGGTTTGTTAGGATAGGACAATATTTGGCCGAGATACAGCTATTTGAAAATCTCGAATCTGAGGGTGCAAAAAAATCAAAATATTGAGAAAATCGCCTTTAAAGTTGTCCAAATGAAGTTCTTAGCAATGCATATTACTAATCAAAAATTAAGTTTTGATATATTTATAGTAGGATGTTTACAAAATATCTTCATGGAACATGATCTTTACTTAATATCCTAATGATTTTTGGCATAAAAGAAAAATCGATAATTTTGACCCATACAATGTATTTTTGGCTATTGCTACAAATATACCCCAGCGACTTAAGACTGCTTTTGTGCTCCAGGGTCACAAATGAGGGTGTGTGTGTACAAAGTTAGAATGCAAGACGTTTGCTGTGAAACCGTTATGAGCATAAATGTGAACCATGTATGAAAATGCAGTGAATATGAACGATGTTGAGGACAATTTAGAGATGCACAATATCACTGGCCAGTAAATGCTTAAAATTAAATTTGCAATTGGCATTGGACAATGACATGTTTTTTCTGATAATTATAAGGTTTCATATTTATTACTGGTCTTGCCTTAATTCTCTTTTTTGGGTGAACTATCCCTTTGTGTCATCATTTACTCACCTTCCACGTGTTCCAAACCTTATGAATTTCTTTCCTCTGTTGAACACGAAAGAAGGTAATTTGAAGAATGTTGGTAACCAATCAGTTGCTGGCAGCCATTTACTTCCATAGTATTTTTCCCCATACTATGGAAATCAATGGCTACCATTACATCTGCAGTTCCTAGATGTGCAAGGTTGAATTTCTTGAGCACTAAAAGAGAATTTGTAATACAATGATAAACAAAATAATGAATCGATATCAAACTAAACTTTTAAAAGTACATTTTCTTGAATTTATTTAAATATACAACAACTAATGTTCATATGTATACTCTGAGATCATACAGAGCATTATTTATAAGTTGTTTGTTTTGTGAGTTAAAGGTCATGTGATGTGTCATGCTTGAGTGTATCGTCACCATTGACTGATTTTGCAGATACTACAGCGACAGCAAGCACAGGAGGCTAGACGAGCACCGCTCCAGCAGAGAGCACCGCTCAGAAAGCAACTCCAAGGACAGGACTCACTCCGAACAACGCTTCCACTCTGAGCACCGCTCTGCCTCCGACTACACGCATCACAAATCGTCCCGGGACTACCGCTACCATTCAGACTGGCAGATGGAGCACCGGCCGCGCTCTCCCCGAGACCAGCGCTCCCCATACGACTCTCGCTCTCCGCTGGGCCACCGCTCGCCCTTCGAGTACTCGTCTGACCACAGAAGCACACCCGAACAGGTCTGGAGCGGCCGCAAGACATAACACTCTCCGCTCCGCTCCACTCGCTTCTGATTAGCCATAGACACACAACACACAGGAAATGCCTTAGGGGACTGTCGGCCGCTGCACTGGGGCTCTGGGAGTGCCACCCTTTCCTACTCACCTTCGAGAAACACAGATCACATATTTTTGTATTTAAGAGTTAGCTGCATTCTTTCGTAGGTGTTGCAGATTAATTGTTTTTTATTATTATTTTTATAAATTGACTACTTTCCTTTTTTTTTTTTTTTTTTACTTGGATCCGGACATACAGCCGTATATAAACGCGATGCAGCTTATTTAAGAAGTGTTGAGTGAAAGGATGCTACAAACGCGTGTCGTCTTTATCCGCTGAGGGGTTTCTGTTCTGAAGGACTGGGGCTGACCTTCCAAAGTACCTCGTTTACAGTGTTTTGTGACCATTTTACCAATTTTTATTTGTAACTTTTTCCTTCCATCATGCTTGAATTATTTAAATCTGCCTCGGCTGTAAAATAATCTGGACTATTTTTAGTGCGCATCAGATAATGTCACTTTTTCCACATTGTACTACTGTAAATTATTGTATAAAGTAAATCAAATGGGCTTTTCTCAGGCTGGTATTTTTTTAACTATTTCCCCATCGACTCAGGCTATTTCCTCTTTTCCTTGGTTTTTTTGACGTTTCTTAATCTCAGTAGTTTTGAATCATGAAATGGGGTAAATATTCCACGTGTATTCGTTCTGTAGGATCGTTTGGTTTGTTGATCTCCTCTTTGGTTTCTCTCTATCTGTAAGTGAATTGGCCTCACTTTATAACAGCATCATGTCAAAAAATACAAGCTGTGTAACAAAAAAAGGACATGAAAGGGTCGATCGTAGCTAGAGGCACTTGTGAGCTCTCCTTAGAACATTTCCATGATGATCTTTCCTCTTGTTTTCTATAAATGTTGGCAATAATGTAATATTTTCTATGCAGCCCGAGTGTTTTTCTGATGACTGGCCCAAGTAAGTCAGAATGCTGTTACAGGACATACTGATGTACATAGATCTCCTATATTTCAAATCCAAATTTACACTGAAAATGCATGGATTTTTAAAGTAATTGTTTTATATCATCGTTTATAAAGTCATTAAACTCAAATCACTGTTTTCACCTGTAATCTGGCTTTAATGTAATTTAGTGTGCTTTGAAGTACATTTTACGATTTATGATTCAGAAGCATTTGATGATGATTGTCTGTACCAATTAATACAAGCTTCTTTTTGGGTAAATTTCACAAACTGTCGCTGATGGTGTTGCTTATTTCAGTATGATAGATTTTAATGCCAGGAAACTTGAGTGCTACTTTTGTCAGCAATGCATTGCCTCATTTACCATTTTAAAGTATGTTGCTTTGACCTTGAGCCTGCTGTTTGATGCATGTGAACTACAACTGAACATGCCAGAGAAAAAGCATGGAGTTTTGCCATCTGCATGATGTTCTGCTCTTGCTCAACTCTTGCTTTCAGACTCGAGTGCAAATGCATTTCTTCTGTCCTCTTGCACAAGTTGACTTGTGTGGTTACAGAAATGAGCAGAAGTGAAAACATTGCTGATGACACCAATTTACACTATTTCACAAGTGAAAAACCTACAGCATGATTTCACTAGTTGAGTATAGGAAGAGAAGCTTGCTTGTTAACCCAGCTTACAGCATCTCAATTATTGATTGTTAACAGACAGAGAAGTGATGAGACCGTCAAGCCCATGTCTTCCGATAGTTTAATAGTTGACGTCAAATGCATGATTCATATGCTTACAGTTCCATTGATGTTACCAGAAGAGGCATTTCTACAAACAAAAATCTTTTCACACATAAATACATCTTAGAATGCATAATGTTAAATGAGCTTAAGATGCGAGATAAACTATTTGATGACTTTCTACTACAAGCCAAAGGCTTATGCTGTCTATAGGAAAGATAAGGAAGTTTACTGAGACTGAAGCACTGCAGGGTGAGCATCACTGGATATCTTGTAACATGATCAATGTCTTACCCACAACTATGGTAACTTGGCTGTCTGATGTATCTAATACGGCTGCCACAGGTTTAAAGACAGGCAAAGGCAAAGGGAGTAACAATAATGACCCACTTCCAGGCGTTTGAAAAATAAGAGCATATGAAGGCAACATTTATTCAGGCGAGCGTCATCCTGTAGGACAGGAAGCAGTTGAAATGGCTGTGGGTTTTAGTAGGTCTTTTTCTCCTCAAATATAATGTTGGCAGTGGCTTTCTTGGCTGCAAGACAAAATAAAAGACTGGATTAACAAGAGTTCCTAACTGATTTTAAAGACTGCAAGGAAACACAGAGCTTGGACATATCACTGATGAAACATCATCTGTCAGTGACGATCTATTATATTCAAATGCATTTTTAATTGCTATTTCTCCAATCGGAAACCAACTCAACTGACAAAAACAGCAAATGCATGAACTGCATCTGGTTTTCACCTTCATCTCTAAACTTGTCTGCCGCCTCTGATGCTTTATCCGTGATGTCTTTCATCACATTGTCGATCTTGGCTTCGTTCTTTAAGAAGAAGGGCCGGATGATTCTTGTGTAGATCAGAACAGAGCCGTTTGATGGAGTGGGAGCCATGCACCAAACCAAGAAAGCACACTAGCGAGCCAAAAGAGAAGCAAAGCCATTACAGTCTACTCCATATTAGAAAAGCATTCATTTTACATATGAAAATATTAATGTTGTGCCCACTGTCCATTCACACAGTTGTTCTTTTAAGGGTTCAAGCACAAAATGCACTAAAGTAAAGGTGTTTGGGCTGTAACTCCTCAATCGTCAATCTTAAGGCACCTCAAACTGAGGGGCCTTAAATCACTGGATCAAAAGTGATCAAAATCAGGTTGAACTGTAGTTCAGTGTGGGCACGTCTAGCCCGAACGTATTTATCAGAAGACACCACCTTTAAATGGCTATAGCTTTTGATAGCATTGTGATATTTTCAGAAAATGTATATCTCTCCCATCTAATTTCAATAAGTCAATAAAGTCAGTAATGATCAAAAATATGTTAATAGGAAAATAAGGTTTGGCACACTTGATAGGATGGCCTCTAAACCATACTGACAACCACCAACCTTTTCTTTTAGTTTTAAACTTTGAATCCTTTGGTCTAGAAACATCACGATTCTTCTTCTGATTTGTATCTTCAGGGTAATTTTAATGAACTAAATTCTATTAATTAACATCTTGTATTTGGCCACCTGTGCGTTTATGATTTAACATTAATCAAATATTCTTCTCTCTCATTCTTCTCTTCATACTGGCCCTGCACTGACTTGATGATGACTATTCCTTTAATCTAATATTTTCTGTTATTCTTATTAATTGCTGCATTTGTGATGCTTATCAATCATTTCAAAAATGGTTTTACTATTTATTATAACTATCTCATGCCAAAATCCCCCCATTCTTGTCATGCACCAATAAAAAAATTAAGAAATTGTTTGTATTTGTCATTAAATAATAACAATTACAGGTGAAATATTGTTGCCAGGGTTACTTTACGAATGCACTGAAAAGTCCAAATCAACATGACTGACATGTTATTACAATAAAATGCATTTAACTGTAGCTAACATACTGTTATGTACTGTACAATACCTTTCCCAGGAAGTAGAAGGGGAACCAGGAGAGGAAAATGTCAGCGAAGAACTCGGCGACGCTGAACACGCCGTAAACCACCCAGTAGGTCAGCCATTTGGTGTCGTCCTCTTTGGTCGCGCTCTCGATGGCTTTGATTCTGCAAACACATGAAGAGTCACAGTCTGATATGATGACCTGAAGTCTGCGTTCTCGACACACCGTTTGTCATTCCAGATTTACTAATATTAGATAACAGACAGAAGACTGTTCATTTAGAGCATTAGATAACTGCTTCTCTTGTCTTGGGAGAAGACCAGGATGTTTTAACCCTGTAAACCCTGTTTTGTGTGTGTGTGTGTGTGTGTGTGTGTGTGTGTGTGTAAATATACAAATACAACAAACAGTGCTTTATTTTTCAGGTACAGTAGGTGTATTTAGTAGTAGCATTCAAGAAATTGTATTAACAAAATGCTATTAAAGTTCTTCAGTCAGAGCAGTGAATGGTTTTTCTCTGTGTATTTTTTTGTTTGTTTTATTAACATTAAATGGATAGTTCACCCAAAAATTTAAATTATGTCATCATTTACTCATTCTCAAGATGTTTTAAACCTGAATGAGTTTCTTTGTTCTGTTGAACATAAGTTGCTGGTCCCCAGTGACTTCCATAGTATTTTTCTGTCATTGGGGACCAGCAACTGTTTGGTTACCTACATTCTTTAAAATATCTTCTTTTGTGTTCAGCACAAGAGAGAAATCAATACAGGTTTGGGACAACATGAGAGTGAGTAAACAATGACAGAAATGTAATTTTTGGGTGAACTATCCCTTTAATGGCAAGCGGCAGCATGTTTAGGATTATTAGTCTGCTGTCACTTTAAGACATCTAATGCATCTAATATACAGTCACTCATCTGTTCTTTTCTCAACTGTTTACTTTCACTTTAGACATAACCAGCTGTGTTTATATGTAAACCTTGTGTGTTTTTGACAGTATTAGCGCAATCAGACACAAAAGATAACTTAGTCCAGTAATCAGGCGCTGTTTGACATGATTTTTAATGTGTGCGCATTCCTCAATCATATTTGATACATTTTAACATGATTTTTTCAAAAAGTGATGAATGGAAAATCAAATAAGTAAAAAAAAAAAGTTGCTTCAGTCTAGTAAATTATCATCTTGAAATATTACTAATAATATGAAAGTTATTCTTACGTTTACTTGATAAAAATCAGTAAAGATATCACAGCAAAAAGACACACGACGCAGAAGCTGAAGGTGGATGTTTGTACAATTAAACTTCAAGGCTTTTTACTTGCTAAAAAAGTGTGAACCATCAGTAAGAAAGGCATGTAATAGAGTACAACAGGTTTTCCAGCAAAGTTTTGATCATGTTGATAATTTAGAGGCCTCAGAAATGCATGCATCAAATATGATAGAGCTTTATAGGGTTAATTTCATGTGATGTCTAGATTAGTGAGTATAAGGAGTCACACGGGCTTCTGTGGTTTGCCTTCTTTAACCCTGAACTGTCTCTCAGCATTTCACCTGATAACGGTACAAGATTGTGAATTTATACTCATTTTCATAATTCTGTTCATAATTACATTAATAGCAGTGTGTTTAATGGGTTGAAAGTTCAAACCGTCAAAATCTGAAAGTGCTTCAAGTGTCCCCTGAAAAGGTTTTTGTTTTGTGATATAAGTGAAACTGTGCATGCTTGACACGCAACACCAAACCTCACCGATTCCTGCGTGTCAAGCAAACAGTTCAGCTTCCCTTTGACCATATTTTGTGTGTTGATCAATGTTTCTATGTGAAGAAAAGCCTAAATTAGTCTGTTCATTATAAAAAGAGATCCTGTCTCTTCAGCAGACTTGGATTAAACTGCTGGATTCATGGATTGTTTTCTTGTACGATGTTTTCGTTAACTTTTTGAAGCTTGAAAATTTGGGTTGCCTGGACAGCCATGACGATATTCAGCCTCTTTGGTCGCGCTCTCGATGGCTTTGATTCTGCAAACACATGAAGAGTCACAGTCTGATATGATGACCTGAAGTCTGCGTTCTCGACACACCGTTTGTCATTCCAGATTTACTAATATTAGATAACAGACAGAAGACTGTTCATTTAGAGCATTAGATAACTGCTTCTCTTGTCTTGGGAGAAGACCAGGATGTTTTAACCCTGTAAACCCTGTTTTGTGTGTGTGTGTGTGTGTGTGTGTGTGTGTGTGTATATATATACACATAAAACAAAGAGTTATT